TAATTAATTAAAATAGACCAGGGCCTTTAAAATGCCAACTACTACAACCCATCCAGTATAAAATATAGCATCTGAATAGTTCAATAACTGTTAAGAAAATAATTTTAAAACTTACAAAACAGATATTAAAATATACATTGCTTATATCTATATTGCATGTATATGATATTATGTGTATTGTAATATTATACAATATAATATATAATATAAATACATAAATCTTCAATCTCAAGTGGTTTCACTGGCAAATTCTACCAAATGTTCAAAGAACTAACATCAACTCTACCCAGTATCTTCTAGGGAATAGAAGAGAATGGAACATTTCTCAATATTCATTTTATGAAACTAGTATTATATTGATACCAAAACCAAAGACACACAGAAAAAGAAAACTAGATACAAAAATGAACATAGATGAAAAAAATCTTAATATTAGCAAATAAAAACCAGCAATATATAAAAATAATAATATTCCATGAACAATGAAAATTCCAGGAATGCAAGACTACTACAATATTAAAAAAAATCAATCAACACACTTTTTCATATTAACAAACTAAACAAACTTCAAACTAAGTCTCTTATCTTAATCATTAAAGCTGAGTCACAAATTTAAATGCAAAATGTTAACTGATAAAATATTTAGAATAAAATACATAGAAGAAAATTTTTTACAATCTAGGTTAGGAATAATTCTTAGACCTGACACCAAAGTGCATACAAGGAAAACTTCATAAGCTGATTTCATCAAAAGTAAAAACTTTTAGTCTGTGAAAGCCCTTCCTGTGAGGATGGAAAAAATAAACCACAGAGTGTGAGAAGTGTTTGTAAACTCTATACCTATAAAGAACTCTGAAATTTCAAAAGTAAAAATTAAAGCAATCTGATTAGAATACAGGCAAAAGACATGAAGAAACAATTCAGCAAAGAGATTACAGAGGTGGTAAATAAACACATGAAAAGATATTAACCATTACAGAAATGCAAATTAAAACTACAATGAAATATCGCAGCACAACTATCAGAATAGTTAAAATGAAAAAAGTAATGGCAACAAACGTCAGCAGGGATGCAGAGAAACTAACTCATTGCTGGTGAGGATGTTAACAGGATAGCTATGCCCCAAAACAATTTGGCAGTTTCTAAAAAAAACTAAATATGCAGCTACTGTGGGACCCAGCAACTGCACTTCTGGGCATTTATCTCAGAGAAATGAAAATATTTAGTCACACAAAAATTTGTACAAGTATGTTTATAACCACTTTTTAAAAAATAGCCCAAAACTGGAAACAACCCAGATGTCCTTCAATGGGTGAATGGTTAAACAAAGTGTAGTAGGAACAGTCCACAGAACATTACCCAGCAATAAAAAGGAGCAAACTACAGAAATATCAGACAAACTTGGATGAATCTCCAGAGAATTACTGAGGAGAAAGTCAATCCCCAAAATTTATATACCATACAATTCCCTTTATATCATTCTCAAAATAATAAAATTGTAGAAATAAAAAGTATAGACTGCTGTTTGCTAGAGCTCTAAAAAGAGGTAGGAATAGGAGTGGGTGGCTAGAAAAGGGCAACTGGAGAGGTCCCGACCTGATGAAAATGCTCTGCATCTTGTGGTATCAATGTCAGTATCCTGCTTGTGAAACTGTACCAGTTTTGTAAGATGGTACCATTAGGGAAAACTGAGTGAAGGGTACACAAGATCTTTGTATTATGTCTTACAACTGCACTGACTATAATTATTTCAAAATTAAAACACTCCAAGAAATCCATTTTTAACTCCCTGCCCCAAAGTGGTGAGGAAAAAAATTTGTTCTACACAGTCTCCCTCTCAGTTAATGGCAACTCTATTTTTCAAGTTACTCAAATGAAAGCCATAGACTCATCTTAACATCCCATATCCAATCTGCTTTTCTACCTTCAAAATATATGCAGAAGATTGAAGATTTTTCACAACTCCACTGCTACTGACAAGTCAGCTGATTATTAGAATACCTAATGTTCTGTATCTGCTTCTACCCAAATCCCTAGCATCGACTCAACACAACAGCCAATCATTCTGCAAAACCCTAAGTTAGATGTTAGTCCTCTGTTGAAAACTCCATGAGCTCCACTTTTCTCTCAGAAAGTAAAATCCAAAATCCTTACAATAGCCTACAAAATCCTATATAATCTGGTCCCCATTACCTCTCATTACCTCCTACTAGTCCCCCTAACTACTGTATCCTCACTGCCTACTTAACAGAGGCAAGCATTCAATAAATATTTCCTGAATATTCTCTTGATCCAACTCTCACCATAAATCCTACAATATTTCCCCAAGTTGCATCTACTGCACCCTCTGAAAAGCCTACTCCAGAGACCTCTGCCAGATAAAACCCCATTTGTCAAAGGATATAGTCAAAATCACCCTAATTGTTGTTGCAGTACCAATACAAGCTCCAAGTTAGGAGCAGAAGTTCTATACTTCATTGAAGCTCAGAACTCAACACATTCTATGTAGACTTTAATTTTCTTATTACAAGGGTAGTTATTTTTTAATTCACTCCATAAAGCACACTTAACCTTATCCCCACACTTTACAAATGCTACAATGCACTGCAATAGAGCTACTTCCCTATTAAAAGCATGTTTCCATTTAGTTCTCTTCAGTAATCTGAATTCACAACATTTAAAATTGATGTATATAAACACTAATAATTGGAGCTATATATAACAGTAAGGGGGCTTTAGCAAGTAAAAAAGAGACAAGAGGAATCCACATACCTTCTCACATCTACCCCCTGACAAGATTTTCAACCATCTTTTAAGGGAAAAGTTATTTCTGAAAAGAGAGTTATCAGAAATCTATGCCCCAAACCATATTTCTTAAGCATTCCAGAAGCAAATATAAATGCTTAAATATCTGTTTTTCCCTTGGATGATTAAATGGCCAAAACAATCAGGCTGCCTAAGTATTTGAGTAACTGGAACATCTGCATCAACCATGGATTCCTCATTTCACTGTACTAATGATGAAGGCCCTGGAGTAAAGGACAGCAGCCCGACCCCCACTGTCCCCTTGCAAACACTTCTGGGAGGGAGGTGCAGGGGGCAGTTGTCCTGCCCTCAGTGCTGTTGGGAAAATCTGAGTTAAGTAACCACAGAACTGCAGTAGCACTGGACAGTCCCTGTTATTAAGTAAAAGAACATGTAGAGGAAAAAAAAAAAAAAAACAGGATTGCGTCTTGAACTGAAACAAAAGAGGAACTGCTGGGCAAGAACTTCAACCTATAAGTTCTTGGTAGTGGATTCCTCCCCTAAATCTCAGGGTGTGGTCTACAAATTTCAAGTCTTCAGTACCTTGCTTCACACAGTAACATTTTCAAGAAAAATTCTTAATCCAATCCTACAGATCCGCTAACTTGAAGCAGGGTTGCAGTTGTTTAACCAGAGACACAGGGCAAGGGAGCCCTGTTACAAAGAACCTCCTTGTCCCCAAAGTCCTCTCCTCTTACCAGCGCCCGCGGAGGCAAAGGCCCGTTATTCTGGCTAAGTGCCAACCCCCGGAACCTGCCAGACCTCAGAGATGCACCGCTGCCGAAAGCAGCTCTCTCAGCAGCTCTCTCGTCACCTTGGTTCTCCGAAACTGCCCGGCAGCTCGGTCCGGTCTCGGCGCGCGCCCACCGTGTTTTACCACTGAACAAGCCCCCATCCTTCCTTGGTCCTGCTAGAGTCCTGGGAGCTCACGCGACCCTGAGACCCTCTCAGGCCCCTAACCTCGGTTGTGATCTCTGCACTCGTCTCCTCCGTCCCCTCTTCTAGATTCTCATTTCCCTGCCGAAGGAAATTTTGGAGACCCCACTGTCGCCATCCCTTGTAGCAACCGAGCCTTCCAGATTCGCGACTCCACCACTCCTCCCTCCCCGCCCATTTACACATTGCGCCCCGCTGCCTGGGTCCCGGCATCCCTCGATTCCATTTCTCAGGCGTGCAGACGACCCCACCTCCCTCAGACACCCAGACAGCTTACTCTCCCCTCTTCAGTCCACAGAGACCTGCCCCATCGAGACAACGCCGTCAGCGCCCGACGCTCCGAAGCGCCCTTGCCGTGGCCCGGCCCACCCTGCCCCACACCCCCTTTACCACTGGACATGGTGGCGGCTGCAAGCAGGAGAGCCAGGATCAGCGGCCGTGACAACCCCCCAGGTATCTGGATGCCCCGCCCGGGAGGCAGCTTGGCTTGCTCTGATCCCCTCATTCTCCTCAGGACCGCAGCGGCCATAACGGACTCGGCCGGGATCCTGCGCAGTCGCCGGGTTTTGCGTCATGACGTTGGCACTGCGTATGGCGTCAAAGCTCCAAGCCTCTACGTCCCAGCGTGATGACGTTACAGCCTGGACCTGGGCTCCATAGACGCTGAGTGGGAGGAACAGTGGGAGTTGCGCGCGGGTTGGCGGGGACGGCCTCCTCGCGCTACTGTGAGGGAAACTTGGAGTGCGCACGGCGTAACTGCGTCGGAGGCGCCACTCCCTACCCCTTGGGCTGGGATACTCTACAGCAAATGAAGTACTTAAAACGCGAGATCATCAGTGTAGTAGACTGACCCCACACGGAAGTAATGCCCTCCCCCTTCCAAAGGGGAGGAGCACGAATGTAAAAGGGAACTGTGTGGCAAAA